AAACTCCTAGTGCTTTACGAAAGGTATTGCTTTGCTCATATTCAATACATACACCTACATTTAATTATGTCTACACATACTTGCATACTTCATGCTGGGGCTCCAAAGATAACCAATAACATATATTTGTTCCAAAAATTATCAAATGCTGTTTAACCTTTGATGTATGTATATAATTCTTGTAAACATATGTGGCGCTTATAGACACTGTACACACATAAGTAGCATATAAATAAAAACTTTCGAAAGTAATTTCATAGTTAAAACTAATTTTACCCCCACTAACTTTGAATAATATGGATGAATCCCTAAAACTACGAAGCAGCATATGATCTATAAATTTATGGAGCAAATATCAAACTAATTTTAAAAATATTTTTCACAAATTAAAACCATTTAAGCTTCACACTTACTAACGATGGACTCATCATTTTTATCTTTAAATTTTTCCCCCAACAGAATTTAGTTTCAGCGATACTAGTGAGTATTTTGTGTGTTTAGTTTTTATAATTCACATTAAAATATATATATGTATACTTAAGCTCCATCTTCACTTGAATAACTTCTAATGCACAATGGTATTTAATAAATCGCGAGACATACAAAATGAAATCATACCTTATTTTTATTAACCTTCTAAAAGACAAATATGTGTGTGAAGAGGTTGTAACATAGATTTTGATATACATAATTATTATTGGATGATGAACAACTTACATCCTTTCAAAGGGAAAACTACTTGAGGCATTCGCTTGAAATGGAAATGCCTCGACAACATCGTAAATTTCGAGGATTTTGTTCGACAAAAAAAACACATGTATATAAAAGACGAACAAAATTCTATATTTGAAAAAAAAAATATTTATATGTTTTTTTTTTTGCTATTTATCGCCTTATAACAATCATATTCAACAATTTTATTGAGCTTGAGGCCGTTTCTAAATGAAAAATGTTGTGGAAAAACAACCGTAATTAATCTCCTCATCAGATTCGATGAAGAGTGTAAGTTATTGTTGTTTTTTCCACAACATTTTTCATTTAGAAATGGTCTCAAGCTCAATAAAATTGTTGAATAAAATATTCTAAATGTATGTATGTATATTTCGTAGCTATTCAACTGAAGAACCAATCTATTGAATTAATATAAAATATTATACAGATTTTTACAATTTTGTCTTTGTAACACACAAAAGAATAACACTTCAAAACTTTCTAGGTCTCTGGTAATGCACGAGGCGCCAAAATACGTTCTATTTTGAGCAGTATTATACAAAGTGAGGCCATTTATGTGGAATGCCTAAACAAAATGCTGCAGGTATGTTGCGCTCTACGATTTCTAATTTTATGCAAATTTTTTGATTGAAATTTGTCTATTTTTCACTGTTTATGTTTTTAATTATTACTAACAGTATAAACGAGCCATACACTCGACACTCGGCACATCACAGCCTGTGATCAAAGAAGATGAGGAAAATACGATTTTCTTCAAAATCGACGAACTATACGATGTGCATACACAATTTCTAAGCAATTTAAAAACGATCGTTGCACACGAGGGTGGAGACGTGCTAATCGGTGAGCCCTTCAAACGTCTCGCCGAGAGTTTCAATTTATATAGCGCTTTTTTACATAACTATGGCCAAGCCATTGAAACCGTAAAGAAGTGCAGCGCAAATAATCCACAATTTAAGCAAATTGTATCCACAATTGTTATAAATTTGCACACCGAGCAATCACTAACGCTGGAGGATTTGCTACATAAACCGGTGGCGCGTGTACAAATCAATGCTTTAGTATTCAACGATTTGTTGCGCGAGACACCACCCAATCATCCAGATCATCAGCCGCTGCGTCAGGCTCACAAGACCATACATTTGTTCTTGAAGCAATTCAATGTAGTTAATCAGCGCTTACCCACAGAATCGAACAAGAATCTGAGGCGTATGGTTAAGAACTCATTCATTGTTGAATTAGTGNTTATCGCCTGTGCCAAATACAAGGCATCCGGTAGAGATCGCATCGACTACGAACTCAAATGGTTTATACCATTAAAGGATGTCATCGTCTACGAGGAAGCAGACGCCAGTGCTGACCTTAAAGAATCTAGTCCTGCAAATATCTTGCAATTGAAAACACAAGCGTGCACCGTACGCGATCAATTATTACTTGAAGAGAAAGATGAGAAAGGACGAAAGTCCAATGGCTTGCGTTCGGGAGATAAATATCGTCGCAAATTGGCCGATTTGGAGTCACAGCTAGTTTTGGCCTCACCGAATTTAGTCTTCCGCATTGGCAACAGAGCTACAAATAAGACGATCACGTTCTTCTTAAGTTCGGATTTCGAGCGCACACAATGGAATGAGTCGATTATGTCTTTGAAGGTGAGTAAAAAAAAAATATGCAGGCCAGATGCGGTTTTCTCAAATTTTCTCTGTCCGACTTGGAAGAAAAATCGTATTATTACATATCAAACCAGAATAATATTGTTATATATTGTGTATCAAAGTCATATAGTTTTAATTTCTAAACTAAGTGATCTAAATACTCATGTGTTTAGCGCTAATCGTTTAAAATATATGTAGTTGCTAATACAGTTCTAACTACTAGTACTAGTACTATTTTTAATTTTTTATGTGTGCATGTTTCCAGCAAACTTGTAATATACCCGGCGCGAATACGATAAACGCGCTGGAGGTACATGCCTTCATCGTAGCCATGCAGAAGGGTATGAAAACCGAAATGGGCTCTTATCTAATGCGAAACACCAACGACGAAAGCTTATTGGTCGGCGATCTACATATGACTGTACAGGGTTTGACAGGACTTGATCAGCCTGCTGATTTGTATATTTGCATTGAGGTGGATTCTTATGGTCATTACTTTCGCAAGGCAACGACGAAGATGGTATGCCGCAGCATGAGTCCACTTTGGAATGAGAGTTTCGTATTGGAACTCGAGGGCAGTCAGAATGTACGCATTCTACTGTATGAAGCACATGAGCGCCCAAAACTACGTGCTAAGCATGTACTGAAGGTAATACAATGCTGCCTACTAATTGGCTGCTTGGCGAAATTTTTCTTAAATATATATATATATATATATTTTTTTTTACAGCTTAGTCGAAGTTGGTTGCAGGAGACTCCAATGCCACGAGTACTGAAACTTGGCGAAACAATAACGCTAAACACCACGCTTCGGTTTGTTCCCGGCGAAGTGACGTTACGGCGTGTGCCAACATCGAAACCGGGTGCGCTCTTCGGTGCCAAAATGAGTCAAGTTTTAAAGTAAGTGTAATTCCCGGTAACACACTTAGTTTTGTTTCTCTATTTCATGCAATTTCTTTCAACATAGGCGTGAGAAGCGTGACATTCCGTTTATAATTAGTGCCTGCATACGTGAGGTAGAGAGACGTGGCATGTCTGAAGTGGGCATTTATCGGGTGAGCGGATCGGCTTCCGATTTGGCAAAATTGAAGAAATCTTTTGAAACAAGTATGTGATTTATTTTCCAAACTTTTACCAATACATATTGGCAAAAACATTTATAATCGGAATTCCTCCAGATGCCTACGAGGCTGAACAACTGCTAAAGGATGTGGATATACACTCAGTAACGGGCATTTGAAGTCATATTTGCGAGAGTTGCCCGAAGCATTGTTCACTGATGCGCTGTATCCGAAATTCTTTGAAACTTTTAGCGCCTTTAGCAACAATAACGAAGCAGCGCGCATAAGCGAACTCACAAAAGTATTTGAAGAACTGCCACAGGCTAATAAAGCATCCATAACCCATATTTTGGACCACTTAATAAGGTGTGTGCAAGGAAATAAATAAAATAGTATTAAATTCCATCCGGTTGAAATTAAAAAATCAGTAATGTGTATAAATTTGAAACAATTACTTCTCCCTATAGGGTGCATAATCAGGAAGCGGACAATAAGATGTCATTGCATAATTTAGCTATGGTGTTTGGTCCGACGTTACTAAGGCCTGGTCAAACGCAAGCCAAACAAAAGGACCTTCTCGCTTCCAGTACAGTTGATGTTATGGCACAAGCTGGCATTCTCTATTGCTTCCTGCAGGCTCGCATAAAAAAGGATAAATTTTCAATCATAAGCGAGTGGAATTAATGAAATATGAAAACCAGAAATATTGTATAATGCATATATTTTTGTAGCAAGCAAGCGCCTTTGTATGCATGAGCATAACCTGCGTAAGAGAAATTATTCTTATAACTACGTAGCTTCCATTGTATTTGTACATACATACATATGCAAAGCAAATGTCGACAGTTCGCTGTACTAAAGAAAAAACTGAATATGGCGATGTAGGAACAGATGCGTTGAAAGATATACAAAAAAAAAAACAAAAACAGGAAATAAAAGCGGGCATGAAATTTAACATTTTGTAGCGTTTAAAATAATATCTTAGATACGTACAAGGTGTATTAAACATTTTGGATGCGGAAAGAATTGAAGTAAGAGTGCGACGAAAATATAATTTTTATAGTCGATACGTATACAACTACATACATACATAAATATAAAAAAAAAATAAATAAAAAATAAAGATAGGATGTGTTAATTCAAAATGCACTTAACTAATGCTGCAAATTCCAAAATAATATCCATATTTATCTACAAGTTCTACACCATAGACTTTGCACGGCTTAAACAATCACTGAAGCTCATTAAAATATAGATAAAATGTAATTTTTGTCGTTTAGAACATCAATACCACAAAATCTACACATATTAATATGATATTTAAACACAGATACATATATCTACACTTAGCTGCTCAACAAATATTAAAGATTATGACATTTTTTAAATCGGTTGCATTTCACTTTGCTTGCAGAAAATAGCAAACAAATGTGTACGAAAACAGTTTATGTGCAGTAATTTAAGAGAAACTAAAGTTGTCCGATTTACCTTTTATTTCAACAGGAGCATATGTTTACGTAGCTAAATCGCCGCATATGTTTTTAACGTATTTACATATGTATATGTTACCGGCCAAACCCGATCTTAGGACAAAGTAGTTTTGCCTAGGCTAAACTATGTAGATAAGGGGCCACGGTATTTTTGCGCAGACCACCTTTCAGCGTAGGCGCCCTCGGGCGCACTTAAAAAAAAAAATAACCCCCATCAGACCAGCTCCAGGTACGCAGTTCAAAATATTGTTGCGTCCAACTTGTTTCCACATTCGACGGATATATTGGATCTAGGTAGAACTAGTTTAGCGTAGGAAAAACTAGTTTGTCCTAAGATCGGGTTTGGCCGGTAACATATACATCATATACATATGTACATATGTATCGGCATTCTTTTAACGAAATTGAATTTCAGTAATTTTGCAATTCAAATTTAATTTTTTAAACGAGTTTAGTGGAAAATAGTTCGATGTTGCTATAATGAGCAGCATAAAACATTCCTCAAAAATTATTGGCTAGAAATAAATCTGGGTTGTTCCGGTGACATATGTAGATGCGACGACTGTGTTAGATAACGGCGGTTAAAAAAGTTGCCATATTAGTTTGCTTGAATGCATATGCTTTTCGACTTAACTTTTCTTTTCTTGCAAAACTCCACATTAGCTGCTTTCCAACAAAGCTACTTTTCCAGCAATCTTCGTAATTGTAATTGCAATATTTTTAAGCGTTAAATGTACTACAATGACATAGTCGGTGGGCGTTTATGATTACCTTATAATGGTTACTTATCGACCCTTCAAAAAGGATACGAAAAAATTATATTAATTCAAATAAAGCAAAATGACGTAGGCTAAAACAATTTAATTTATTTTATACCTTTATGTAAAATTATTCTTGCTTATTTACATACTTTATAGTTTATCTACATATGAACATATGTATTTTGTAGTGCAGTTATATAAAAAAAAATATATTATTATTATTATTAAACATAACTATGAAAGTATATTAATTAAACTTCCATCTATTCTCCGCCTTCGTCTTCGTCAGCCTCTGGGAAATGCTCAGCAGCGTTGAATAGCGCTTTTCTACTTTGCTTGGTTACACTTGCACTGGCATAATAATCTGCTGCGGTGCGTTTGCGGATTTCTTCTACATCTTCGTCATTTGCAGATGCCCATTCCAGCACTAACCGGCGCCCATACAAATGGGTACTCTGGCTCAGCGCATCAAAAGCCTTTTTAGCGTCACTTTTTGTAATAAAATCAACAAAGCCGAAACCTCTATGAAAATCTGCACCTGGGGTCATTTTTATCGGCAAACGCACAGAACGAAGATCCCCAAATGCTCTAAGAATGAAAAAAAATTAAATTTTTATTAAACAAATTTTATCTAAGTAAGTTTTTATCAATTCTTACTTGAAAATTTCGCGGACTTCCTTCTCTTTCGCCTGGAAAGGTATATTGCGTACAAGTATTTTTGTGCCAGTTTGCTGCGTTTTCACTGAATGCTTTCGTGGTACAAGTGAGGGCGACCTATAATATGCAAATGAAAATTAATGTTTTAGTATTACGACAATAAGAAATACAATTTTTTTTTATATACTTCAATGTTCGATCGCTGCGCTTCAATTCCACTTGATTACCATCGATTTGTGTAAATTGCATTTCTTTCAGTGCTTTTTCGGTGGTTCCAGTCAATTTGAACTGTATAAATCCATATCCCATTGAGACTTGGTTTCGTGGGTTTTTGGGGTCTTTTCTCTTCGCTATTTCTATAGTGTGTATTGGTCCTAAGTGCTTGAAATGATTTTTTATTGTTTCGGAAATGGTTTTGAAATTTAGATTGCGAAGAAAGAGTGTTGTGTTTGGTTCTGGCGGTTCACTATCTAAATTATCATCATCCTCCTTAGTTTGAGAATTGTTGCCTTCTCGAGCTGTATCCACATTTTCGTCTGCTTTGGGTATGTTTTCCGCTGTTTCCTTTGTAGTTTTTTCATTATACGCATTGCTTATCTCTTCTTGTTTGGGAATAATTGGTTCTCCATTCAGTGTTGTTGTGAATGTCTGCTCTGGTGCCCACTCCAAATATAATGGCACATTTTTAAATTTGCTGTATGCCAATTTTTTGAAAGCTTGTTTTGCCTCTGATGGATCACAGTACTCAATCAATGCAGTGACACCACTGGGAGGTAAGATTAGCCGACCTATAGGTCCGAACTTGGCGAATATTGGCGTTAAATCGGCCACTGTTGTATCAGCAGGTAAATTTTTTGCCAAAATAATGGTTTTGGAACGCTTTACTATGGGGGAATCAAATACACTAAGACGAACTCCATTCTCTTCAAGAAAGTTTTTCATTTCTATTACGATTTGAGTTTCTCCCAAAGCAATGCGAACTGCAGCGCTTGAACCACCATCACTGGTGTCTAAAACCTGCCGAAATATTTTAATTATATTACAAAGGTTATATTTTGAAATTTAAGAATATTAGTAAGAAGATCAGTGATGAGCACTTAAATACCTTTTGAGAATTTAATGTGTAAAACTATATTTTACTCTTAAAATTTTAAAACGAATTACTTTTACATTTGCTTCGAAATATAACCCATATCGGATGTATGTAGCTATTCGCATTACGTGGGATAATTTTCGAACTACTAGTCATGCAGTCAATGCAGCATAAAAAACTAGGATTCTAAATTGAAATTTTAGCATTTATGCAAATCAATACTTAAAGAGCACTTCCGTAAACGTATAAAAACACAAAAAAAATATGTATTATACTTTACCTTCTCTTTGGTCGTTTCGAAACGTTTAGCTAATATTTCCGCCACAGCATTCGCACCCATAAAAAGAGTGTTCCAACTACCAGCTTGTTGTGCGGCTTTTTTTAGTTTCAGAGCTTTCTTTTGCTTAAAAGTCAAGGATGGATCATTTTCATCATCCCTTTGTTCGTCATCTCTATTTTTTCCTGGTATAAGATGCAATAGTCGCCCATGAAAATCTGTTCCATCTAAACTATTAAACGCATTTACCGCATGTTCAGGCATAACGAATGTTACTGTACCAAAACCTTTTATTTGGCGCGTTACAGCATCCACCGGCAAATTTATATCAGCAATGGGCCCGAATTTTTCAAAGAGCTTTTGGAGCTCATCTTCTGCCACTGTATACGCTAGATTACGGAAAAAAATACGACCAGACTCAGCGATTCCTTCTTCATTGCGTACGCTTTGCTCCTGTTGAGCCCATTTAGGATTTGTAGACTCTAACTTGTGGAGATCTGTGGTCTTCTCGCCTTTCTCACATTTTGATTTGGTTATTTTATTTTTCTCTGTAAAATCTGAGAAAAACACTTGTTTTCCTTTTATGAAACTTTTATTCTTAAGCATTGCCTTTGCCATTTCTTTATCGGTTTTAAATCCAACATAACAAAATCCATGTACGTTTGTTGGCAACCGTACAGAATATGGTTTTTGCGGTTTAAAGAATTTCAAAATCTCCTGTCGTTTAGTCTTGTATGGCACATTATGCATTTTTATTGTGTACAGATCAAGTGCTGCTTTTGTTTTACTTTTTTTGCTTTCCGATGTCGATGTTGCTTTGGCCATAAGATTTTTCATGTAATCCAGATCACTAATTGGCCTTTCCGCCAATTTTTCCTTATTTTCGATATCATCATCGTCAAACTTTTCATCCTCATCGATATTTTCATTATCTGTGGATTTAATATCTACTTCCTCTTCGACATTTTCTTCAACTTCCTCGGAAGGTTTTAAAACATCACCAGCATCATTTGCCCATAAAGCACGCTTCTTATCATGAGCTTTCATGAACTCTTGAAAATCTGGATCATCTTTGTGTTTGCTGATAATATCTTCCAAATTCGAACTTTTCTTCTTGGTTTTGTTTTCATCTTTCTCTTTCTGTAATACTTTTTGAATGACATCAGCCTCAGCCTTTCGGGCACTTTTGCTGCGTGGTTGTGGTTTATCCTCACTGCCAAGCGCGGCGCACGCTTCAACTTTAATGCGACTTGTTTGTATACAAGTATTATTAAAATACTTGATTGCTTCATGCGCTTCTTTTTCAGTACGATACCCAATGAAGCAGAACTGACGAAATTTTCCATCTGGAGTGTATTTCAGCTGCATGTCAGTGATGGTGCCTTTCGTTCCGAAAAGGCTGCGGAGCTTTTCCTCGCTGACCTAATGTTGTACATATTTAATAAAGTAGTTGGGGATTCTATTATTTACTTACATTCTTTGGCAGTTGCTTTACAATTANGAAATCAAGTGTCAAATAAGAACGTATGTTTTTGACGTTCTCTGGTCAAATCAGCAGTGAACATAAAGCCGCGTCAGACATGGAAACGCAAGTAATTTCCAAGTCAAAAGGAAAAGAAATGTACTCATTGAAAAGTATATGTATAGCCTTTATGTGAAAGTTGTTGTATATAGAAGGCTCAAAAAATGTAGTTGTAAATAGCGTTGTAAATGCAAGTAATCAAATTATTACTAAATAAATGCAACGCGGCCGCCGTGGTATAATGGTTAACAGTGGGCGCTACCACTTCACAGGACCTGGGTTCAATCCCTGGTCAAAGCAACACCGCAAAAAAATATAGAAAAAAGGTTTTTCCTTAACAGCGGCCGCCCCTCGACAAGCAATGGCAAACCTCCAAGATCTCGGAAAAATTGCATCAGCTGATTGTCATAAATATGTAATTATATCTACGAAAATAACCTTGACCTTTATGTCATTTAAATTTCCATTTTGGGTATTTAGTTAAGAGCCTCTATGGGCACCTTTATCTATAAAGTGGCTTTTAAAATATTTTTTAATTTTATTATGAAATCGGCCCTAAATAAAAGAAAAAAATTTGGGTTAGGCCACTTCTGTCCTCATGGCCTCAAATTTACGTTCTTTGATCCTACTGTTTTAGCATCTTTGATAAATTATTTAAATAGAATCAGCAACCCGTTTCACAGCTGATCAGGAAAATTTGATTTGACAGAAAAAAGCTCGCAGAAGTAAAAAGTACGAAATTAAATTGTGTTTTTATCTGAAGTCTTCAGTAAAATCCTGCTCGTCTGTTGGAGCCAATAATACATTCAAAGCTTGAAATTGCATCCATATTTTGGAGATTGGATTGTTCCGGCTTGTCAAATAATACCACTACCAAGTCACTTGTTCGGTACCTACAATCGTTCGAATATTGAAACGTCATTCTGGAGGAAGTTAAATAATAAAAGTACTTTAGATGATTTAGAAGAAACCAACCTCTACAAGATTTTTCGGCCAAAACATCAGTGTAATGTCTTTTTCGCTTTTGCGATGCCTTAACCGGGGAGGGGTAATAAATGCCACCAATAATGCTACCAAACGATCACTGCCAGCGACATCATCGTCTCCGATCCTCGGTGTAGCAAGCACAGCACACTATTCTCGACGCAGCGACCCGAAGAACCTTGAAAGTGCTTTCAAGGTGGTAAAATCTAAGGCACGCGTCGAAGGTAAACACAAAAATGTCGATGTGTTAGTTTGCTTTAAACTTGTAAAAAATTTTCAGATGATACCGACTTTCTTGGTGGCGAATGTGGACCGAATTGGGAATTGCTAGCTCCCCGAGGAAATCGCTTTTATTTTCCAAACGCGGTTGGTCCAGCATGGCAAGGCGCTTCTACAACCATCAACTTAGAGGCACCCTTAGAATCACTAGTTAATTTTGACGGGAAGGTAATGTTGCATATAACAACAGGATACGCGCATGAATAAGCGTTTAAAATATAACTTTCAGGAAACAATGCAAGATACCATGCTCGAATTTACTGTTGGTGAATGCCCATCACTAATAAGAAAATCATTAGCATGAACTTTTTCCTGCCCCCGAAGTAGTGTCTAGTGATAAATTGGCTCTAATGACTTTACGCTTTTCTGGTGATAACGAACAAGGAGCATGGAAGGTAAGAAAAAAATAAATTAAAAAATTAAATCAGCGTTTTTAACTTTAAGATGTTTAAGTTTTTATTGGCTGCTCGCGAGATTACCTCACGGCTCCGTTTGCATGGATATTGGGCTGACTTTATGAATCCATTCAGCGGAAAACCATTTTATTCTTGGGCAAACGGTAAAAATCTCTATAAAGTAGACGACCGCTTCAGAGGAATTAATATGAAGCTTATTAAGAAGAACGACTGCACAGTGATCAGTACAGAAGATGGTGATTCTACGTTTTCCGGGGTCATTTACACTAACGCTCCTTGTGACTACTTACAAATTAAATCACTTATTGACGAACAAGTCTAGCAGGACGGCAGTGCCTCAAAGAACTGTAAATTCAAAATTGTTATTACATATGTATGTAGCTTCATTAAATGAATAAACAAATGTTTTAGTTTCAGACCCCTACTTTCGAGCTGCTTATAATGGCAGGGTTTCGACTTTTTACACGTACTTTTATTTGCCTATAATAACATATTAGCCATTACGTATTTAATTTTTTTTTGATTGGTGAGATAATTATCCTCAAATAGGGGGGCCATGATAAAATACTGAGAATGATTTTACCTTATAATGTTTTTATTCAACAATTTTATTGAGGCCATTTTTTATGAAAAACTATTGTGGAAACACAATAATTTATAAAAATGGTAGAAGTGTTTTTATTGTTTCCAAAATAGTTTTTCATTAAAAACGGCCTCAAGCTCAGTAAAATTGTTGAATATAATTGTTATAATGCCATAAATAACAAAAACATTCGTACCTATTCAAATTCATTGATAACTTTTTGCATAGGCTGTACGAAAAATAGGGACTTTGTAGGGTTCGGCAATAACCACAAGTATCAGGCGTTTACTCGGAAGCTACTTTTTCACAGTGCCGTTCAATTTCTTTCAGCTTATTAATTAGAGATTGCATTTCTTCAGTGCTACATACAAACTCAACAACAGTCTCTCGATCCCCGGTCGTTTCATGAAACCTCCCAAGATTTACATGAAAGCTTACTTCTCCAGAGCTGCAATCGGAAGTCGATGAACGAACATCTGCCATTATTCGCCATTGTACATCTGTTATGTGCGGAAAATCACTTCCTATATGCAATTGATGCAAAGTTAACTCCCTTCGATGTTCTTCATATATACGCGCTAGTTCCTCCAAGACAATAGGCTGAATATCGTATTTTTCCATAATGGCACGAAACTCTGAAGGATCACAGCTATGCTTTATGGCCAAAGATAATATTGTGACTACGGCATATTCACTAAGTTTTGCTTTATCAGCGTTTGTGGCATAAATATCCGGAGCAGAAGGAACACCTTGCGCAGAGGAGGCATTTATCAATTTTGCCATCTGGGGGATTGCTTGTGTAAAAAAGTACTTACTTGATTCGGAAGAAAGTATATGCTTGAGTGTGTTTCCTATAAGTTTTTTCGCGATGTCCAAATTTATTTCGGTGCCTAAATGCTGGAGTCCCTTCACAACAGGATCAGATAACTTGAGAGGCATGTTGTCAGAATCTTGTTTATTTTATTTATAGAGGTGGGTGCAAACGACACATCGATGTTTTTGAAACATTAATAATATCGGTCTGGGATTTGATGTTTGCCATCGATATTTAATAATTTATAACATTGCTGAATTGACGATACATCGATGTCAATTTCATCAATAGGGGTCTTCCCTTAACCTCGTAAATGCCTCGTAAAGCTTGTAAATTTACGAGCCTGGTAAAAGAACTGTCAAAATTTGTATGGAGCTCTATTTACGAGTCCCTCGTAAATTTAAGCTTAGTATCCAGCTCTTAAGAAAAGCAAAAACTCCATATAAAATGACGTACAAGAAATGGCTAAGAAATTTTCTTGAGTCAAATTTCCTTAAGGCAGTACGCAGTTCTTCAGAAATTTAGTACGCTTTCTACTACGGTTTTCTAAAGTNTGAGGAAAGAGTGAGGCAGCAGGCTGTGGGGTATAAAAAATGTCAAAATTCCTTGGACACACACGCGAAATAATGGCAATTTTTTCTTGACCGTATTCTTAAGAGCTGGATACTAAGCTTTACGAAGCAAATTTGATGCGCAAACGACCTCGTAAACTTCAGTGTCGCCGAGGGGCCGAAATTTTCATACTAAAATGTATGATAAAATAATGAAGTTGAAGGGCAAGAACCACAATAGCCCAACTTCGCTCTGGCTACTGCAGCAGGTTAAACTCATACCTGAACAGACTAAACGCGAATGTGCCAAAAGAGTGTCCGGCATGTAGAGAGACCCCTCACGCCTCGAAACATCTCTTCGTACGCCCGGAAAACCCGATAACCCTAACGGCTTTGTCCCTGTGGCCCGACCCAGTGGAGGCTGCACGCTTCTTAGGGTTGCCGTTAGTGGAACTTGACACCAACGACTGAGATATCAACCGATCTGGGCGGGGTTATTGTAGCCGCTACAACAACAACAACAACATAAAATAATGAAAATAAATGAAAAAATAATACACGAATGTAATGAATAAATTTCATCCACTAGCTGTATTGACTTAGGTTTTTTGCTAATTTTCGGCATTTTCGATTATATTTTAGCCTAGAGTGATAGACACCAGACGGCGAGATGCTGGTCCTGGTTTATCTGTCAAACAGTTATTTTACGCGCCTATTTACACCTTCTCGCAAAGGGGGCGTTCCCATAAAAGCCTCGTGAAATAACGTGATTTACACGGTTTAAGACTTTACGAGTTTAAGGGAATCCCCTAATTGATTTCTCAACACAGAACCAACGACTACAGCCCTGCAAACTATTTTTTTTTTCAGAGTAGTATGAACTGTAGAGAAATTTAAAAGTATTCGTAAAGATCTCATCCGATTTTTTGCCGAATTTTCTAAAATTAAATGAACTGTGAACAGTTCGAGTCTTTTAAGAAATTTGGGAAGAAAATCGGTGAAACGATGAAAATAATGCTGCAATGTGAAGAATTTCTTGCAGAATTTTCTTATTTTTCGTACAGACATATCTTAACGAGTTCGTGTCATCCACTTCATACAATTTCCCTTGAAAATTCGTAAAAAAATCCTTACAGAAATGAGAAACTCCTAAATATTTTGTTAAGATTTCGGGAACTTTGGTTTGCAGGGAGATCACGCAATCCGCCATCGTTGTATTTATAATCGAATTTTTCATATTTTCCGTTTTGTTTATATCGTATTCTACCGTTTCGGGGTGGTCTGCCAAAAGGCCTAAATTTTCATGAAAAGTGGGGACACATTTGTGGTCAGAACGTTGGCATTGGAAAATCTACCCGTGCTGATGATATCAAAGAACGTAGATAATAACGTAGATAGATAACGAGATTTTAAAACACTTTCAATTATGAAAACCATATTTTAAGAACATTTCACTTATTACAATTTATATTAAATACCAATATAATCGCACTCAAACACCGCGCCTTTTTTGTTTCCTTTTTGCCTCGTAATTTTACGAGGGGCTCGTAAATATAGCTCCATACAAATTTTGACAGTTCTTTTACGAGGCTCGTAAATTTGCGAGCTTTACGAGGTATACGAGGCTTTTACGAGTGTAATACTAGGTTCACATATAAGTAGATTATCCTCATTTTCGAGGTTAACACCCTAATCTGTAATTATAACAAGAGATTAGCCATATAAAATTCGTCCCTTGTTAATCTGTNGTGAAGACCCCTAGAGTCTTTAGAGATGGCAGATGACACAAGCAGTCAACTCAATGAGCAGACCTAATACCAGTTTAAAAATTATTATCGATGCTAAAATCGATTACGAGGAAATTTGAAAAACTGAGTCTGGAGATAACAAAATGCAAAGGAACTGATTCTGATTATAGTGGAAAATTATAAAAAAGTGTTAACTANCCCATCCTAGTTTTATCGATTGTTTTTGAAAAAAAGAGGAGAAATGCCAAATGTAAAAGTAAACGCTAGCAAGGAAAAGAGGTTTGTAAAGAACTTTCGCGTTGGCTTTGGCGTTGGCGTTAGTTTGACATAACGCACGTTAAAAGTATGCTTGCTACAATGAACGCTTGGCAGCGAATGCTTGGGCCACTAAATTAACATACTAACGAAATATAAATTAATATTTCATATCAATAATTGCATTAAAAACGATATTTCTTGCCCGCACTTGATTAAAAAGAAAAAATATTTCACATAATTTTATTTATTTGCAACAGCTGACGAGCGACGCACGCGAAAAGTTGAGAGTTGGCCATCTTTTTGCTTTGTGTTGGCGTGAGCGTTGTCGAATTTTGGCTATGTGG